GAAGGCCGACAGTGTTCATGTTTGCTGACCGGAGTAACTGCAGGTGTGGGAGGAGACTATTTATTCCGGTTGGAAATCTAACCTGTGCCCAGGCGCCATGGCGCTTTATTCATTTTTGACCCCAGTCATCGCGTCGGCCTAAATTGGCGATTAAAGCGGTCAATCGGTATTATTTCTGATACCCGATGCTCCTCTTGATACCTTTCCCCGCCCAATGTCGCTCTGGGATACCCACATTGGAGGCCCAGTCACAGACAACACAAGCAGTGGGGCTGAATTGTTGACAACCCCATTTTTCGCTCTTCCCCCACACGCCAGACAATGTATCTTGTCGAATCGGTCATTCCTTATGTAGTCCGTTTGTCCAGGGCGTCAGGAGATCCGATCTCGCTTTAGACCTCCAAATGCTACTTTATTCGGCCCGAACAGGGAGACTTTTTTTCCAGCCTGCTCCCGGACCAACTGCCCGGTTGCCTTGCCAGCTCGTCCGTCAGCCATGATAACACCCTTCAAACGCATATTTCCTTCATTCAAGGCCAAATTGCCATGAGCTACTCGTTGCAATCAGGAAAGTCTCAAGGACAAGACAATTGGATGTGCACGAAAGTAGAAGCAAACGATTGGGGGCAACGAAGGACTAGCAGTGAGGTCCGGTGCCAATGCTTCGGCTTGTCAAGAGAGAGCGAGAAAGAAGGAACCAGGCTGGAAAGGGAAAAGGTAAGAGGGAGAGAGAGATAAAGAGATGCTGTAGGTGTGCGTGCTTGCGTGTGTGTGTGTGTGTATATATGCATGCTCCAGCCAAAGTCTCAACTACAGACAGGACTGTAGGACCGAATAGCCAAGTTGCCAGGCCAGTCAGCAATCAACATTGATTTGCTTGCTCATTTTATCCTTCGTTGAGCTGTCTTTCCGTGTGTGCGCATGGTCTTGTGCCTCAGCATGTGTATGTGGGTATGTGGGCACGAGCTAGCGGAGGGGTGAGTTGCCAAAGGTTCGAGGGTATGTGTGGTTGTGTGGAGCTGGGGGCGGAAAAGGACAGCCAGGGCAGTAGCAGCATCAGAAGCATCGGTTAAGATTAGGATGCCTGACAGACTGTAAATTACCGTCATGGCAGAGAGAAGGACTGATGCAAATGTCGTAAAGGCGCCTCGGGACTGTTTGGTTGGGGAGCCTGGCAGCATGAGGCCATAATGTTCACGTGTATGTGCCTGCCTCTATGCCTGTACGTGTGCCTTCCTCAAGGAGCATGTGGCAAAATGTGCGTGTCTCAGTGCCTTGGCGAATGTGCATGTGAAGAAGGCGTGGTTGTGGCTGATCTACTATGGTATGATGAAGGGGGTGGGGGTAGGGCGAACGAGGGGGTGTGGTGTGGTGTGGTGTGGTGTGGTAGGGGAGGAGCAGATTGTTGCCATTACTCGGGACAGCCCGCGTCTGGTCGGAAGAGAGAAAAACACAGTATTGGACAGATGACGAGACACGCGCTGAAGCAATTTAGTGAGCTGAGGTTAGATCAACTTCTCACCGGAGTTGGCAGTTGATCTTTTACCCCTCAACCCAGTCCTCCATTTCGCCCCACCGTCTGTCCGACTCCTCTCCACTCGCCTCCGCCCCAGACGGCGGCCGATCGCCTTCCCTCCCGTCCCTCTCCGGCCGTTCCGCGGCTTTACCCAGCCTCATTCGGGCATCTGCATACGTCGGCTGTCAGGCCGGCCACAACAGGTCGCGGGCTACGCCGGCCAGGCCGCGACAAGCAGAGATTAGGCAACCGGTTGGACCTACCTGAGTTGACTTACAAGCCCCAAGGGTCGAATGAATCTGTACCAGCTGGCCCACCACAGGTGCCCCACCACTTTGCGTACTATTTAATCAACATTTTCCCGCCCCATTCGCCGGGCCTCGCGAGCACAGGCTCTTCAGGGGCGGCGTCGCAAGCCACTGCCCCAGTCACTGTGCCACCGCGACCCGCCTCACTCGAGCACACTCTAGGGCCGACATAGAGACAAGCCCATCTTCGGTTGCCATGTTCCATCAGACCGACTGATAGCAAAAGTGCTCGTATCCCTTACAAGCCATGATGGGGCCATCGTATACGCCGGAAGACGTGTGATCCAGGCGTCATGGCGGCATCACTAAAGACCCTCGTTTTTTTGGCCAATAGACGAGAAAACATGTCATCTTAAGTGAGACAGGCGCCTACTTATTTTCAGCCATCGTTGGGGATCAAGAGGTCGTGGCCTACTTCCGATGACGACAAGTGGTCTGGTCATGTTTTCGCAACTTGTTCATGCTGCCAGAGCGACCTAGTTGGACGTACTTTGTCCTAAGTCCTCTGCTCTTGTAGTTAGCATAAGTCCCAGTGTTGGACGGTGGACTTGGTACATTCTCAGACGTTACGTCAGCAATGTAGCCAGCTTCATCAGTGAACTTTGCCATTCTTAGCACAAAGCTACAACTCATCAGAAAGACAAGGC